GAAATAAGTGCTCGACATTAAGCTATATTTTGTGTAGTAATAGGCACCTATCATAAATGTTATAATAAATACAAACGATAATATAAATTCATTAAATGTGTAAAACTCTACTACTATTACAATAAATGTCAAAATTAAAGTTGAACCTAAAATTTAAAAAATTTATTAATTACAATTAAAAGTCTATATTTAATAAATAATGTTTAACACTTCTAAACAAATTAAATAATACACTTTAAAACATTATGCATATAAAAACTATTTAAAATAACTTACTTGCCATCCAATAGATGTATTTAATAACATTGAAAACTAAATTGGCTCTCATATGAAACTTACATAAAATATCATTATGTGATGCATTTAACTTCAATTTGCCTGGTGCTATATTTCCACGAATTAACTCAAATAGTTGTGTCCAATAATACAAACCCTGATCATAATTCCTATAAAACAATTGACACCAAACACTTGTTATGATGGCCCCGATCACATTTGATAATTTTATGTATATTTGAATGCCACCCAAAAACAGTGAAAAATCAAACAATAGGAAACGTATCTCGTATTTTAGATTTGGATATAAAAGTAATAGAAATTTACATATACCAAATAAATTACACATTAATAGTGGACTTTTATAAAAACATTTTGGCCTATTATTTAGCCGGTTGTTTAAATTATCTAGATAATTATTATTCATATTAAATTGTCTGTTATGGAGATTATGATTAGTTTTAATTAAGTTATGAGTATCTGGATAAACCTGTGTCATTTTTATAATACAAAATAATTAATTATTGCTTGTTTATTTTATATGAATTTTGTTAAACTGAAAATAAAGCAAATTAACTGAAAATAATATTTATTCTCTAAGAACATTAATATAAATATAACATACTATAAATATTAACAAATATAAATTATTACCACGTGAATTAATAATTACTGTATAATTTTAATTGATGTGTAGTACAATGTATATTACAGTACCAAATATTCATTATAAGTTATTAATATCTTTTATAGTGAAGTAACCTTATAATTTGTATTAAATGATAATTTTATCTAACTATTATAATTAGAATTAGTGATTATTATAAGTCATTATAATTATAAGTATAACCAATAAGTTATTTGATAAAACAGATGATAAACTTCACAAATCTAAAGCATAGAAACAGTAGTGAATTATTTATTTAATAATTGCAGGTAGGTTAAAAGTAACATTTTATTTATTTATTATAATTACTTATGGTTTAGTTTTTATAAATTTATTTTAATTAAAAATTGTTTAATGTTTATAGCATTATACTTTATAAAAATAATTATACATCAGCCGGGTATTTGAGTCCAGAGTCATTGAGTAGTGTGACCACCCAGGCATCTTTGGGAAGTTTGCCCGACTGTAACAGTTTAACAGCTGCGGCCACATTAGCACCGGACGTATAGCCCAAATAGAGACCCTCTTTGGATCCCAATAACTCCTTGTAGTGGACGGCCTCCTCATCGCTCACACCTAAAGTGCTGTCCATTGTGTCAAACTTGAAGAGTTGGGGAACCTTTCCATATCCCGATCCCTGCAATAAGTGCAACGGTTTGGTGACGGGATCTCCTTTGATGACCTCAGCGCCGGCCGGTTCCACAACAACGCAAACGATGTCTTTGTTTTGTTTCTTGAGATAACGCGAAACACCGGCGAAAGTCCCGGCCGTTCCCACAGTCGCCAGAAAGGCGTCAATTCTGCCGCCCGTTTGGCGCCATATCTCGGGTCCAGTGGCCTCTTCGTGAGCCTTAGAGTTGTCGTCGTTATTGAATTGGTTGACATAATAAGCACCGGTATCCTCGACCAACTTCAGCCCCAAATTCTCTGCCTGTGTTACGTCCGCCAGAGTCACGTTTCCCGGCTTTCCCTCCACTTGTGGGGCCAGTACTACATTAGCTCCGAGTGCTCTCATCATTGAAGCCCTTTGGGGACTATTGCCCGCAGACATCGTTAGAGTCAACGGATGTCCCAAAACGGCGGACACGACTGCCAGACCACAGCCCTGATTACCACTCGTCACCTCCACTATGGGACCGTTAGGTTTGAGTTGTCCGCTGTTGAGGGCTCTCTTGATCATAGAGAGGGACGACCTGTCCTTAATACTGGCGCCGGGATTCATGAATTCGCATTTGGCTAATATCCTTCCCGGTCCCGACCAGATCCGGTCCAATGCAATGAGTGGTGTGTTTCCAATCAGATCCAGAGCTGACTCTTTGATATCTGTCGGTCCGTATTGTTTGGCCATTGCTTTCAAAATCAAATCTATTATAAAAATCTAAGGACTTTTAAATAGTGTTTTATATTCAACTCAATGTGAATGCAATGTCTAGTGATAGTCAATGAGCAGGATATCGACTATTTATACAAAAATGAATCAACAAATTATTTAGTGATAAACTTAACAGTTATTTTAGAAACGCTTATAAATTTGTAAATCTAATTGCATTGTCAGTAGCAGTTTAAATTATCTCAATATACTTTCAGGGTTATTAGGTGTAGCATATAACTACACACTATCTATCTACAGTATGTATCCTAGGTACTCTATGATTGATAAACACTTACTGTTATATTGATAAACTTAATTTTAGATTATTGATACAGAACACATGTATCAATAATCATTATGATAATAAGTTTATACTGTATTACCTGATAATATAAACTCTTACATAAGAATTTATAAAATTTAAATAAATGGGTTTAATTTTAAAATATTTGTTTTAATTATTAATAACTAACATTCATTATGTGGTAATAATAACAAATCATCTAAAATGTGTAATATAATGTGTAACAGAATTAATAAAACTGTTTATTCAGAAATAATTTCTATTATTGTTTATTAAAAATGAAAAATAAATTTGAAAATTATTCAAATTAACTTACAGTTTGTACACGGGTTCTCAATGTGATATTGACAATATCTAATCACAACTTTATCATTAAAATCAAATATTTATATTCAGACTAAAGTTAACTTACAATTAAACCTTTTAATGAAAATGATAGTAGAATTTTACACTTAAAATGCACTTAAAGTCAATGTAAGGAAATGCCTTTTGTACTGCTATTATGTGATAACCGGAATCCAAGGTTTTTCACAAATACATCAAAAATTAAGAAATAATTCTGGCATTCATTCAATTCATGGTTTAAATAGTTTTAACCTAAAAATAAATATCACTCAAACACATTGGATACATTCTTTACAAATACACTCAATTTTCTGATATCTTCTAGTAATCGACAAAAAATGGGTACATTTTCCCAGTTTATTCAATATACAATATTTGTTTTTAATTACAATTTAATGGATGATAGGAATACAGTATAAGCAATGAATAAATGTATTTCAATGATTGTTTAAATAGCAATTTTGTTTTTGTTTGCAATAATTTAATTTAAAAACACTAATTAAGTTGCAATAGTTAGGTCCACTACAGAAGTTTAGTACTGTACTGTATACTGTATATAATATATCATGCATTTATTAGTTTGCTTATAGATTGAGTTAATTTTTACAACCTACTTTGCCCTCAATATTTATTTGTAATAAATCAGATGATGGCCAATACTTTATATTATTACCTCGTTAAAGTAATGGTTTTTTGTGGTACAGTTTGACCAACAATTTTTTAAATAACTCCATTAGTTTACTGTACTTTTAGCTGTAAGCTACAATCCATTTTGACAAGATTAAACATTTTGAAAACTAACTTTCAAGTAGTTAAGTACTACTTATTAAATTGAAATTTTT